TATTTGATATGACTTAAAAATGCTTGCCGTGTGCCAACTATTAAACAAATGTAATGTCTGTAAAGTTGCATTATAAGCAAATATGATTGTTTAATTGAAATGTCCATATGTGTACGGTTCCATCAACATGCAAATGTCACATGCATGTCACGCCAATACCATAGTCAAATCCAAAGGAAATTCAGGAATTAAATTTAAACTTAAGACGGACGAATAGTTTTTAATCCTTTTTGTGTTTACTTTCGAAACATTCAATCGAATAATTTAACATACCTATGATTGTCATTCAATCATCTTTCTCGACTTTCTACAGATCAGGGCCTCCTTTCACAAAGCACTAAGTTGATCGTCAGTCACTTAGGTGCTCTTAGTGCAATGTTAAAGAATGGGAGTTAGGGTTAACCTTAGTAAAAGTTGCTTCGTGAAAGGACCCTGGACTATGAGATTTAGAAACCTGAAACCCACATACTTATGGTGATATCCGGGCAAACTGTATATATATTCTTCATAGAAGGATATTTCCTCATAGATGAATTTTTCAGTTGTGTCTCACCATAAGAATATCACAAGTGCTATTTCCATGTATTCCTCTAACCAGTCCACATTTACTGGAGTGTAATTGTCCCCGATTCACCTTTAAGGTGAACTAGGATCCTAATCAAAACAATTATGCGAATGTATTTAGTTGTGCAGAGTATGGCACCCAAGTGTTTTCTTGTTAGTGTTTTCCTCTATATGTAAAGTTCATTTTGCATACTGATTGGCATTCTAGGTTATCTTAAATGATTTTTCTCTTATCCTCCATTACCGGCACGCACTATCTTGCAATAACGATGAGTATGACCCAAAAAATGAATGTTTGTTTACTGCAGCCAGTGACGCTATGTGGTACCAGGCAGTGTAACTATTACTTGTTCAAAATCTATCATGACCTGATCTTTATCATTATCACAGCTAAGTGTTAGCAATAAAATATCTCCTCTATCTTGATACTATTTTTGTGCACTTCCTCTCCCTGAAAGGTGTCTACTTGATAACTACTCTGTAAAAATAGTTTCATCCTTGTCCAAGGATGATGCCTAAAATGTTTAAACCCTGAACGTGTTTGATATAGTTTGGACTGAAAACGCTTTAGACTAAGTGCATCAAAGCATATGGATACAATATTCAGATAATTAAGTACATTTCGTGTCTACATCAGTTTGGGTTGGTAAGTTTAACATTATATTTATTAAATACCAATATGTGATTGATCACTAAAGACGATAACGAACTACATTTCATACTTGACTTATTGACTTCAATGTCTTTGGGATGTTGAGAACCTCTTAATTGTCATGTATGTCGATTGTTAACAAACCGCCGCCATATAGCTGGAATACTGATGAGTGCAGCATTACACAACGAACAAACGATTCCAAATTATATATGTTCTAACCTGTTCAGATAAAACGTAAGTAAGCCCCTGTTACTGTTTGGGATGTACCGAAATCTTAAGTACCTAGTCCACACTTAAACACAGTTTCATAGAGTACAAAAGTGGATACGGCCATTAGCAATTCAGTATGATATTGGAGCACATTGCAACTTAGTTTATGTATTATTTCATATGACGTAATACTTTTCCAGTGACTGGGATAGTAAAAGGTTTAGTTTGAATACAGACGGCTACAAGCGCCTACTCCACTCCCGCCTTTCACCTCACACTGCTTACTCAAAGAGAGAGGCATACACATGACTGAATATGACGCAGTTATAAATGCGACACTATTCACCACACCTAACTCGTAAAGTGAAATCAAACATCGTCAGTGTCCACCCATCATTTAGTCCCGAAACTTTGCCCAGAGCATATCTCTTAAAGTTTACATGCTCAGTTCACCAAACTTCACACACATGACAATCATTACCCACAGATGTGCATTTTGCTATTTTGAAGTTTATCAGAATTTGTCCTACAACAGTACTACTATTACCTTTCCCTCTTAAAGCTTCACACGGAAAATCAAAACTAAATTATGATAGTTTGTGATGTAACTTTTATATTTTGGAGACGAACGCTATAAAACTTTTTTCCAGAGTTGGTCTGATGTTTTTATTACATTCTCCGTTGAAATGAATGTTTGATCATCAATCGATATGGAGTTTGATTGGGATTCATCGGTATAATTTTGACCCAAAGAGACTGTACTAACTCACAAACAGTAATAGGAAAGTCGGGGTCACCCCGCCCCACCTTTGGAATACGCAACAAACCCATTAATTCAATGGCAAGGGGAGTTGTGCACCCGAAAACATAACCCTGAGGGCACCACACAGGGAAGAATTAGGTGGTACAATATGCTTGTAATTGGTACTTCTAATGCCCACCCAGTTCCCGAATGCTCCAACCGCGAACAAACAGCCACAAAGCAGCTGTAAACTCAAAGCTTCCATACCTTAAAGTCAACACCATTTCTCCTTCTCCACATCCCAGCGTACCGCTTGTGTAATGAACAATAATATTAAGCATGTACATTTGTGTACACTTTATTTCTGTCATCCAGAACTCATGACATATGGTGCCTGACAGACAAACATCCCCAATGCCATTTGTTTGGAAGATATGGTAAATATGTCTGTCATTTTCATCACTTTCAAATCCTACTGAAACAGTTGAGATATTATCGTTTCTATTTCTAATTTAAGAATTGTATAGAGCAGTACACATTCCGTTATGTTTACTTACAGGTTTGAATAAATGGAAATACTTCATGCTATTGCCCAACTTTCTATTAACCAAAGGTTATACCGCCTATGGACAAATCAATAAAATAAATGACTTATTGTAAACATGAGGGACAACAAGGGAACGCAACACGTCTACATTGAAACAACATTCCCCTTTCCATTGTTTTTTTCAATTGGTATAAATACTCGGTCGACTCTTGCTGATCTTAACGCGGTTGTGAAAATTAACCCACTGTTTTTATTAATTCAAAGCTTGGTGTGTGAACTCGTGCGTAAGTGAATAAGTTGAATAAAACTGTGGCGTACGCATGTCACTTCTATGTAGAATCAATCATATTTCTGGAAGAATAATAATTGATCATATCTCAAATTTTTTTTTGTCAATTGTATAAATGTTTCAGAACAAGGCATGAAAAATATCATGCAAACCTGTACCCCCAAACTATCATTAAAAATGACGGGTTGTTTGAAGGTAAACAATCTGCTTGGACAGTGTGCCGCTTCATAACTGTAAATGGATACAAGCGAGTCCGGTAATTCCGCGCGTCCTGTAATAGCGTAATTTCAGTATCGAAGTTAAAACATTGTCTGCTAACACATTTATGCTTGAAATGGGAACATTTCTACAAGGACTGACTTTTAATCACTTAAGTTAAGTAAATAACAGTAATTGACAGATAAATTGTCAGTTTTATGAAAATTCGTTTCTTCAGACTTTTAAACATTTTTCTTCATTATTCATAATTGGATTTAATATGAAACACTCTTCCTTACCTTGATGAAGTGATTTTTAAAATAATCTGGCCCTAATACGCTTCTATAATTCGATCCCAAGATGGTTGACGACGTCGCGTGCTATCCGGTAATTCTGCGCATTGTGTATTTCATAGCTTTCGGCTGTAAAGGAGCCGTGCCAATTAACACTTATCAGAGGGGTACACAAAGTCCGCAGTCTAGACTACCAGTTGTCCGACTTCCATTTTCGTGGAAGCCGTGGTGGCTGAGCGGTCTAGGCGTCTGACTTTGTGAACTGGCGATTAGGTGCCTGACTCTGAGGGTGCGGGTTCGAATCCCGGATGGGACTCAACCCAAAAAGTACTAGAATCTGTACTTTACTAAGAAAGTGTAATCCCAAATATAACACATGTTATACTCAAATCACACTTATGACAGAGAAAAGCGGAGAGTAATACGTGAGAGAGATGGAGACAGTGATGCCATAAATACTCTGTTACATGTGATCAGTTTCTAATTAGCATTGTGTATTCATTTTGATACTATTTTCATTTTTTAAAATCTGTGTTGCTCTCATTATTTTTGTGTTTTTGTCGACGGATTTAATATACTCTGATTTATGTATTATTCATGAATAATATTGTTACAGTCACAATATGGTTGAAATAAGACCGAGGTGACTTTAGATTTAAACTCACTCACTCACTGATAAGACCTAAAGACGATGACTAACAGGTGTGGTATTCATCTATTGATACCCCCTTCACCCAAATGTATTATGTGTAAACAGTACAAATCTATGGAGTTGAATATCTGCCTCTGATCTTGTGTAAACATGTTTTCTCTGTACGATTTTCTACTGTGCTCAGACATTTACTGATAAAAGACATTGAGCACTATGCAATGACAATTTCAAGTTTGCATTGTGGACTCTACACTTTACTGAATAGACGTGTCGGTGTGTCTTAAATGTCTTTCTGTCATTCAAGAAAGATAATTATGGAAGAAAAGTTCACAAGTTTCTCATCGATACGCATGCACAATTTATATCGTGTAAATTTAGTAGATTCTTAGAAAATCTATCTCAGGCGCATACATTATGCACTAATTGAAACAAGGAAACAGAATTTTTTTATTTAGAAATACAAAAGATACAACTTAATCATGCTTATGGTGCGTGTGTTCATACTTAAATAGTTTCCGACTTATTCTCCGTATACAATCGCTACAATTAGTAGAGGCTTGTATGCAGTAAGCTGCCTTGGAAAAAATGTAAAAATACCAAAACATCAAACGGAACCAGTTTCGCAATTGTTTGACAGATTGAGGGAAAGTGTGGACGAAAGAACAACTACCATTCCTATACCCTATATATACACATTTCCATTACATTACATAGTGAGAAAAGTTGTCGGTGGTATGTTTAAACCCACTATAATAGTCCTACATGAACAGTATTGTCAGTGTCGAGCAATATGATCACAAGAGTAGGAGAATAGCGCATATATACGTACGACAGATGCACATCTACTTACCCTGTCATGCAGCATTCAGGTGGAGTCGAGATCAGGGCACAAACCAGAAGAATGGCTCCATTGTGTAAACAAATAACCGATCCAACCAACAGGATCAGACACGTGGTGTATTGTTTATCCAACTACGTCCTGGTGCATTCGTGCATAAAGGGAAGTGTCACCGCCTAGTCACGTGGCACATAATGTGCAGCGTTACCTCATATAGGGCAGCAGTTTGCTCTTTGTACTGCATGTTTGTACAGTCATATGATGTATGTACAGTGGACATACAGTCCTAACACGCACAAATATTGATTTGAGAAGCAAATATGCATGCTTTTAAGTCAGTTTGATCATTGCAAACTCAAGCAGCAAACATGAAACACAACATAACCATATTGTGCAAATAGTGCAAAGTGTTGAACATTTATTTTGTAAGTTAGGCCATCGCGTCAGCTATCGCCTCTTTGGTTTCACAGACCCCACACATTTTCGAGTTACAGAATACTTTTTTCAAACCAAATATGACTTATTCCATAACAACGAAAATTCCACGTATTTTCATACATATTTCCAATTTAAACCTTTTTATCCCACAAGATGCCACATATGTTTACCACGTTGTTAATCTTTCCGTAACAGGCTGCATAACTACTGCGTCGCAACGTGATATATTTAGGCAGTGTGTATCCCAGCCTTTCTAAGAAATGGCCCCGTGGCCCAGTTGTTCTCAGTTTATATGGGCCAGAAGAAACATATTGTGGGTCATGTCAAATTCCTGTAACTTGTTAACAATACAGTAGTTACTTGTAGTTACTGTTAGGCCCGCCGTGATGTTGCTGGAATATTGCTAAAAGCGGCATAAAACCAAACTCAGTCAGTCAGTCAGTACTGTTAGGCGTTGGGGTAGCCTTGTCGTTGGTGCGTCCACTCGTCACCCCAAAGGCCTTGGTTTGCTTCCCCACAACTGTGGCTTGAATTTTGATGCATGCTGACACCGTCTGCTAGTAGCTGCTACTAGCTTATATCGCCATCATGAATACTTGATGATAAGCTGTAAAGATTATGGCATTCTGGGACTGTTTATTTAGGATGCAATCCATTATACAGTAGGAGTATGTGTATCATGTGGTTTTTGGCTTTGGTTTTGGTTTTCAGCAACGTGTTGAACTTCGTCTACGGATATGTGTCTGAGTGGGGTATTCATGCTTCACTGCGGCATGGTATCTCAGTGGGCTAGCACTATAAAACCAGCTTAAGTCTGGGCTAGTACAAGCAGCCACACATACACATACACACGCATGCACGTCGTCATATGAGCGAAATATTCTCAAGCACGACGTTATTTAAAACCCAATTTCACTTCACTTCACTTCATCACCTCAACTGTGAAAAATAAAAATTCTGTTCATTATACTTTTCTATACATTTATATGTTCAAGGGCAACTTTTGCTGCAATTTGTTTAAGGTTCAGCCTTACTGGCCGTAGAATGACTGGACTACTAACCATTCCTCGTCAGCAGGGAAATTTCTACTTTTCTTTTTCCTCGGGTTGAAGATGGCATTTTGCGATTCCATTTTTGGTAAACCGGAAGTAAATAGAAAACGGAATTGTGGGATATACAGAAGCTAACCAATGACGTTAACTACACTGTTAAACTTTGACGGTGACGTTAGCTAACGGCAGGACTAACCATGTTTTGAACAACGCATATTTAACGTTCGTTCGTTAACCGGCGGTTAAGATAACCGAGTTTTGAACAACCGGGCCCTGAAGATAACCAGTTTTACCGGCCCTAATCACTTATACGAATGCATGATGTTGTGGCATAATTTGCAAAAGCTATCGACTGATTGGAAATCTTCGGTAAAAATAATATTGTTCACAACAATAGTGCATTAGAGGGACAATATATTATTAACGTGTGTAAGTGGGGTACCTAAAATAAATGGGAAATAGCGTGTGCCGAGCGATTGACTGTTGTGGACCATTTATCAAACAGAACTGTATAAAGTAAAAGCGAGTTGGACGTCTCATAACAAACGGTTGAACTCAACCTACGTGTTCGGACAAGGAATGTTTACAACCACATGGGACATGCAATGGTTGAATATTTCGACCCAATGAAACAAACGATTATTCTATATCAAGGTTTGTTTTGTTCGACCTCTTAGATAAAACGATTCAGCTTAACCTCCCAAGGGATTATAGTTCAACCTAATGATCCAGATATGTTTATTATGTCTTCTGTGTTTTGAGGCCTGGAACATGTGACCTCATATTGAAAACAAGGAGGATGGTATAACATTGAATACATGGTACACTGAATACCATAGGACCTACAAACAGGAACTTTACGTTGTCATGCAATTAACCACTTGCTCTATATGATTTTATATAGTCCAAAGTTCGATCAGTCTCCATCTTTATTTCATTTCGAGCCCAGCTGCCCTACAGGCCAGGCCACGAACACTCTGCAAATAATGTTAAAATAGACACATGTAAACCAAATAGATCATTATACCCCCAGCGACATCAAGGTCTTTGTCCTTTTCAACTACGTGTAAATATATGAGGTATATGTTAATGCAGAACCTTATGTCAAATACAGATTTGTAGACGAAGTTCAACGTGTATAGTCGGACAGCTTGATGAGCAACTAAAAGCGAAAACCCTCCTGATGCAGAATCACAGACAATCTGGATAAATCTAGTTACCCCCCGGGCCTGTCATGTAGGACATGTAACGGTAGTCTCAACCGCTTTTAAGAGTTTGTAATCAAAGAAACATGATGGTAATAAAGACAGTTTCAGTATGCACCTCTTAACATATTGATCAGCCACAATTTCCATCTCAGGAAACCGGCTCATCTCAGTGCATTGGTCCCATATGAATTGACGCACTTTGAATTCTATCTGATACCAAGTTGACTTTGCCGTGCAATCTAGGAAGCAGTGCAAACAGAATGAATCTTACAAGCGTTCGTAGCTGCATTTCTTCTAAATGAAATTGCACAAAATCTAGAACAGATGGTCGCCGAATTAACCAACGTCTACAATCTGAAGAAGGGACCTAATGGATTGGTTTGTAGGAATCCATTATTCAATAATCATTTACGCATTACTGACTTAATGTCTCTTCATATTTACATATTCTTTGTATTGCCATTTCCTTTCGTCCAAAAAAAACATAAATCGTTTCATGATTCCACAAAACTTCTGATAATTCTCAATGTTTTTCCTTGATAACTACAGGGCTCCAGATAAAGTCCGTATCGGCGTATGTACGGATAAAAGATATGCACAATACGATAGGAAATAATTTAGGAAACGTAGCAGACACGCACCACAGCAATGGTGTACGGTCTTAGAATCATTTACGGAAGTATTTATCTGAAAAAGTATTGTTTTATTGTTGACTCAACACTAGCAATGTTGTGGTGCATATATGAAACGAAACACAAGATTACTGATACGCCATTAAATTCCATTCAGTACTCTAAATGTACTCTTAAGTTTTCCAGTACTGTTATATTGAAAAAATAAGGAGTACTTACTCCTGATGTTGAAATATTATCTGGAGCCCTGGTTTAACTATATTTAACATTCGTTCACACAAGGTGATTACCAAGTTGGAAATTTATTTAAAATCATGGTGAAAAGAGCATACATGATTGTACCTCAAAAGTTGTGAAATGTACACACCAAAGGATGGAGCTGTTAGAATATTGCGCGACATGAAACAATTTACGCAATGATGTTTACATATAATGGTTATGTTATCTGAGGCCTTAAAAGTGGGAACAACTACAGACTTCTCATGCAGAGCAGTTATACTTTGGATGACCTAATCGTCTCTACAGATTTGAGTTCATCATTAAGTAAACATGATGGCTATAAATCAATGTGGAGACAAACCTCCTCAGCCGACGGAAAGCACAGCCACAGTTTCCATCTCAAGTAACCCCTCATCTTAGTGTAGCGGTCACATATGAAGGATCTCATTTTGAAATCTGTCTGATACCAAGTTGACATGATCGCGAATTCTGGGAAGTAGTACAAACAGAATGCATCTTACAACTTTGGCGTTCGTTGCTGCAGTTCTTCTAACCGAAGTTGAACAAAATGTAGGACAGATGTGCACGGATGTAAGGAGTGTGTACAATCTGAAGAAGGGAGTGAGACTGTCAGATGTTCAAATCCACTCTTTTAAAGCAAGTGGACTGATGATATGTGTCCGATACTGTTTTCTGAAAACAGGATGTAAATCAATCAACTATAACATTGGAACTGGTATGTGTGAGCTCAACAGCCACTCCTTCATGGACTCAGCCCCTTCCAACATACAAGATGCTGCTTTCTCCTTCGTACAGTCAGACATCGAAAACTGGCCCACAACTCTTGCAGGTCCTTGTGTTAATCACACGTGTAGCCGTAATTCACGCTGTGTTGCATCGCCGGTCCCAGAATGTGTGGTATCTGGTTGTTTGAGATCGAACATCCCCGAGATACCCTACACAACCTTGAATACAACAGTCTCATACTTGGAAGGTCCGGTTGGAACTGTCCTCAAGTACATTTGTGACAAAGACTTCTTACCCGAGACTCGGGCGGAATGTGATGCGATGGGTAATTGGACATTTACCAACTGTCAGCTGGCGGTACCATCGTCGTGTGCCAGTGTGAAGCAGTGCCAGCCCAATAGTACTGATGGAGAGTACTGGATGAGGCTGCCGAAGTTCCATTTCTATAAGACCCGGATCTACTGCCATGATATGAGAACCTGGAATCCCAAAGAGTATCTCACACTTCAATTTCACAATCATGGTATTTTCCCTGCAATAACAAACTGGAATTGTGGCGGAGAAGGCAAGCTGCCTGGTAGTTGTCTGAGTTATGTAGGAGAGGTTTGGTATGAAAAGATCAGAGTAGATTTGCAGACAATGGAAATTAAACAAGACGAAACCACTTTTGCGCGTTTTTCAGGAAATCCCCAAAGTATGGAAGTGCAGTGCTTTTGACTGTTACACCGACACTACAATAGATCAGTAAGCCAGTGTGGTGTTAAAGGCGAGTTCACAATCAATCTGCGAAAAACGGGATGGATCGTTTCCCCAGATCAGAAATGGAGAGAAGTAGGGTGGAAT